GTGCATAAAGAGGTGTGGCTTTCAGCACCTCAATGTGTGCAAATTAAATAAGATTTAAATAGCATAATCACAGAATACATTATCATTCACGAAAAAAAAAATAGATATGTCGAATACGATGTTCCTCGCTGCACCAAATGCACGGCAAAGCGTGTGCTGAGAATGTGAGATAACAGTTATGTAATACCCAGCAAGTAACAATAAGCAGCATTTATATGCAGTGCACAGACGCACTATAGCTCAATGTTATATAGTTGGCGATAAGGCGGGAATTCAAAAGCCACGGCATCATCTTCGACAATGCGTTTGAAGAAAAAGTGGCACCAAATGACGCTTCTATCCACAGCCATTGTGACACATGGCAATGCATGGCAATGACAGCTTAGCCCAAAACTAACACTGCACCATTAATCATCCCTTCTTTCCAGTTCCGGTTCGCTACCAATGTGTGGACGGATCACTTGTGTTTATAATCTGTCAAATACATAGTAATTGTAAACCGGACTTGGTTTCTATATATTAAAAATTCTGTCTAGACTATAGAGTATCCGCTTCCTCTTATATAATAATAGCATGTTAGTTTCTTGTCCTGTTATCCCATCAGTGTTGCCAACTAATTTTCAGGGGAAGTTGCTAAAGGAAGGTCTATTTGTTGCTAAATGACGTTGTGATGTCATTGCGCGATGACGTCATTACGTAATCACGACGCAAAATTGTGTCACTACATCAAATCAGCAAAAATCTATTTTATGTTAATTTAGATTTGTTCGTAAAATAATATAAATGCATAATATAATGTTAAAATATAAATAACTATTTTTATATACAACATTGAACACTTTTGAACGATTACAAGTTTTTTTATTAGCTAGTAGGGATGTAACGATTAACTGCGAGCCGGTTGAAAATCGATCCAAATATGTGACTATTCAAATCGGTTGAGATGCTAAACAAATCGCGATTGATTTAGGTGTAGGAGTTTATATGAATGCATGTCTGAGGTAGAGGTCTGCTACCCGACCCGAGCCCGACGGGTCCCGAAATACTTTCGGGTTGGGTTCGGGTTAATGTTTAATGAATATCTTCGGGTTCGGGTCGGGCTCGTGTTTATAGCTAAACTAAAACTATATGCAGTAGCCTAGGCTACTCTGCTTTCATAGACGCACGCACACACATTAGTGCACATGACAACTCAGCACAGAAACTTTTATTAGTAAAATAGCTTCAACAGGCTACTGACTCAACTTTATATTTCTCTGCAATGAGGGGGTAAAATCGCTGTTTTTGAAGGAACTAAGCCTCATTGCTTGTAGAGAGAGGCACGCAGATGCAGGTTCACACACGCAACTTTCATCCCTCTCTCTCCCTCTCACTAATTCAAATAAATGATATAAATAATTCAAATAAATGCGATCTTACCGCACTACATCTATGTGTCTGATTTAAAGCAGGCCGAATGCTAAGAAGCCTAAACTGACGAAAATGACCATAATTTGCACGATGGAAGAATTATCATCTTGTCGTATACAACCATTCAAAAACTCGGCAGTATTTATGTGACCGAGCCACCTGATGTTCATAAACTTTCATAACTGGTAAGTGTTTTTTCTTTTACCTTGTGAACTGGCCGAGCCTTAATGATTCCGTTTCTTTACATGTATTTGTTTACTGACCGTTGCATGCAATCGTGAAATACAGCATTTTTTTTTTTTTAAATTGGCTATTCGTTGTGTGAAGAAAAAAAAAACAATTTCGGGTTCGGGCTCTAAACTGAACTGTGCCACTTTTCATCTTGCGTCTGTATAACGCATATTAAAGTTCATAAGTTCAGCGCTGCTTTGTTTACAGTGGAAACCAAGGAAATTCTTTAAGCGCCACCTACTGGCAGAGAGTGAATCTGCATCTTATTCAGCTCATCCGCTGTTTCATGCAGATATTGTTATGTATAGTTTCACAAAACTGAAGTCAAACCATTCTATTTTTACTTCAAATTTCGAAATTATACAATCTAATTTAGATTAAAAACTGCTAATGTTACATGTATGCAGCATCTTTGTTTGGATCATGACTCAAATGCAGTGTTTTTTTAAATGGAAATTTTAAATGGAAAGAGCACAGACAAAGCCTTAGTTTGTTTATATGAAGAGATTTATTTTATTTGTGTTACTTAATTATTTGATTTGGGGCTTGTTTTAAAATTTCAATGTAGTTTTGTTATTTACATTTACATTATATTTAAATTTTGATATTTAGCGGACACTTTTATCCAAAGCGACTTACAAATGAGGACAATAGAAGTAATCAAAACAATCAAAAGAGCAATAATATGCAAGTGCTATATTAGTATATTATTATAGTGCTATATTTCAATTTCACAAAGAAATGTGCAGCATTTTGTCCAAGCAATAATAAAAGGACACATTTAATTTATAATTTGTCTTAAATCACATTTTGTTAAAAAAAAATTATAATCGTGAACCGAATCGTGAGTTGAGTGAATCGTTACACCCCTATTAGCTAGTAAACTAGTAAAACGACACATTCTGAACAACTATAGTTTTAAGCAGTGTATTAGTAGTCAGTATGCTACACTCTAAGAAAATAAACCACAGGTTTTTACCTGCATTTTAAATTACGCATTGTATTTTGTGTTTTCGGGTTACAACGGATAGTGGATAATTGATAATGGATAACGTCCTGGAAAATTATTAGTACCTTTGCAATTTTTCTAGATATTTTTCTTACAGTGTACTAACTGATCAACAATCACATGTACAAGCTACTAACAAGGTGTATCATAAATGAACAGTTATTAAATTATTACTGTTATTAATCAAATCGAACAACTGCAAATAGCAATAACTTAATTCACGTGATGCATGTACTTCTAGGCATCTTTGGTTTCCTCTTTTCGGGAAATTTAGATGGAGAATGTGTGCCTTTTTATTGTTTGAGTCACTTATCAAAAGCTGCTAAAAGTAGCCAAATAAAATGTGAAAATAGCTAAATTTGTTGCTAGGTGCTTTTGGAAGAAAAAGTTGCTAGGGTAGTCTAAATTTAGCAACACAATTGCTAAGATCCCATCCCAACTTAATAACATACAGCAAATAGTGCATCAGTATTAACCGTTTTATCAAGTGACAGATGAATTTGCCCCAAAATATCATAAAGTTTGATTGGACGCACGTCCTCTGCCGTCAACAACAAAAGACATGGGAAGTGTCTCTTCCACCTTTTAAAAGTTGATCGGCACATTTATTGTGCTGCCCTACAGAAGTACCATTACAGTTTCATTAAGCATTGTCTTAGCCCCCTGTCAAAACAGAAGCGAGACCCATTTTTGGGTCACGACCCACTGGTCCAGAGAAGCGAGAAATAATGGGATCAGCTAACGCATGGAGCTAGTATGTGAAGTGGAGTGCTGAGATCAGGCGGACGCTCGCAAACTCCTCCTCGTCGCACTTCTTACCACGGTATTACTTCATTACTCGCGGTGTTTTACTTCCAACGCACAGTTATCAACGTTAAACGACGAGCTCGTTAGCGCAAATGCAGGCTACAGGCGCGAAATCGCGCTACAATTTGACGGAGCGATTTAAAAACACGATCAGAATGGGAAGAAGAAAAAAAATCTCCATCTTGAAGTCAGTCCAGCACAGCTGTTTTCGGGATTCTCCATTTTGGCTCCGCTCGTTTCCAGTCATTATGCACACGCACCGACCACATGCGTACATATAACGAGTAAAAATAGGCAGCGAGTGTGTTTAAAATTGACAATGTGATTAAATTAGCATAATAGGTGCGACATCAGCTTTTCCGTCTCGGAGAAGGGGGGGAAAACATCGCGTCCTCGTCCTCCATCTTGCCTCTCAATTTGTGTTCCTGACTGTGCAGGCTAAGGTTAGCCCGCTAGCTAACTGTTTACCAATGAAACGCCACAAAACTACATTCGTTCGTGAAACCATAATACGCTTGTTTAAATTCCCAATGAGCACGGCGAGGTGGTTTATATGATTTAAACACGGCAACGGAAGCACGGCGGCTCGTTTCGTATCCTGTCCCTCGCTTACCAGGCTAGCGCGGCTAACACATCATCCAAATAACCCTAAAGCCACTAATTTCTATAAATCTCTCCGCCATTTTATCACTTACCCGATCGTCAGGGCCGGTTCCGGGTTGTTTATAAGGACTTCTCCAAGAGCTAGATGGACTCCAGTGGCTTTAAAGTGCGCATTCGCGGCTATTTCATGGATGTAGTTTGAAAGTGGCGGTCAGAGGCGGTTTTGGACACGCTCTTACCCCGCTTGCTCCGTTCGGTTTGTTGTTCCGATCACTCAGAGAGAAACTGCCGGTGTAGAGCTGCCACCTGGTGCTCAGCGGAGGGATTGCAGTGAGCTCGAGACCGACGTTTAGTGGTCGAGGCCCTTACGTGCAAAATGCTCAGTGCAGTAGACGCTAGTGTCAGAAATGAACTATTCATTCAAACTCTAGGTTTGCTTTTCTGGGGCATTTCATAAGGTTATATAGATAAGGTTATTATATCTATATATACACAGTACATCTGTGCATTTGTCAAATTCATTTTAGTTGCTTTCTTATCAGAACACTTGGAGCTGTTAATTGTAAACAATTAAAATACAAAAGTATTTTTAATAAATACACAAACTATTATAACTGATAAATTTACATAATTTTTTAATAATTAAAAAATAATAATCTGACTGCTATGTGCCACTTAAAGTGTTTGGAGAAGCACTTACTAAATCCATAGAATATATAACATGTATAAAGTGAACTACACAATTGGTAAACAGGTGGAATTTATGGTGAGAATTGTGTTCTACTGTTCTAAGCATAACTGTTTTTACCTTCACTTTCCAGTTCATGAATTTAAAAACTGAGAAGAGAAGAGAAAAGATCCACCTGAATTCCGCTTTTATTGTCATTATAATGGATGATAAAGTCATTATTAAAGGAATTATGACAACAGAAAAGTATCAGAAGACAAAGGAGTTTGGACTGGTGAAGTTTAATCAAACTTGAACATGATTAAAAGTGTCAAGCAATTATTATTTTATAATAAATAAAATATCAAATATAAGGTACACTGTAAAACATGATTGCTAAATTACAATGGTAATGTTTATAAAAAGTAGTCTACATAAAGGCACTAGAGTAATTAACATCAATCGGAGGCTGTGTATTTGAGGGAAGCAGCTATTTGAGGGGTATGAAAAAGTATATATAAAAATGATGTCTTTCCTGCAATATATTCCAAGTTAAATTATGTAGCGTGTCCCTGCCTTCATCAAAAGCAAACACATGAGAATGTACAGCTTGTTATTTTGAGTTCTTAATGAAAAAATACAATTTTATACAAGTTAGCACATCTACATATGTATGCCTACATATACATATATATATAAACACAGCTTATTTTACACATCTATGTGCAATTTTGGAAATGATTACATTCTGAAACTTTCAATAAACATCAGTGTTTCTTTTGGAGTGCTGGTTTCTTTGTCTTTTAGGCATTGTATGTCTTTATCTTCTGTGTGATTGCGGCACAGCAGATGGGACACTTGTTCAGGGATTCTGAACATTTCTGACAAGTGACCAGGTGTCCACAGGGAATGAAGACCATGTTAATGTCACTGTCCATGCAGACTTTACAGAGTTTCTCCCTCTGGAGTTTCTCAAGTTTCGTCATGGGGTCCTCTATAGAAAACATGTAAGAAACGAACGCATCGTTAAAACAACAATAACAGAATGAAAGAACTCACCGTAATAAATATTAACAATAACAAGTGGTTCTCTGCTATCTTATTTTGGGATGTTCAAAAGCGGTCAATCTGCACAATGTGTGGTATGTTATTTTTAAGTGTATGATTAAACTACATTTTATTCTGCAATATACTTGAAGCATTTAGAATTATAAATGGATTTTTACTAAATGTATTTAAAAATTTAAAGGAATAAAGTAAATACACTTTTTTTTTTAGCAAAACCTAAAGCAAAGCATGGCCTTATTTTTGGAAAAACTAAGTTGGAATTCACTTGATGCACTTCGTTTAAAAATCCTTTGCATACAAAACAGACTTTCAAAGAAATTAATAAAAAAAAGAAAACAAGCACTTGCCAGCTTTCTCGGGCATGGTACTAGCACTCTCCTGTGCACTGATGTCTTCAATAAGGGCTTCTACTGAAGCATAGCCCTCTGTGTTCTGACGTAATTTCTGCAGAATGGTGCGCTCCACTTTGATGTGGTCAAAACCCATATCTACAGCCTTTTGTGCAATCTCTGACTGCAAGACTTTCGGTGTTGCTGAACACAAAGTAGAGATCAAATAAATATCTGGTGAAGACAGGATGTTTACATCGATATTGCAGACAGCAGTTATAAAAATGGTTATGGCTTCATTGGATTTGAAAAGTAAAAAACTCAGAAATACTTACCATGCTCATGACTTGTAAAGCCATTCTGACTTGATCTCTGTGAGGGAAAATTACAAGCATGTAAGACTACACAGTGCACACTAATATATACACACACACAAATAAAAGGACTGTTTTCATTCATTCAACTAGGGCTGTCACGATTCCTCAGTTAAATCGGAGTACTCGATTTAAAAAAAATAATAAATCCACGATTGCATTTTGCCCACGTGGAAGTGGCGCATTCCACGGATGAGAATCCACGCAAAGCATTATTAGACCATTTTCCAAGGCTGCACGAATTATTAAAACAATTTAAAAGTCATAATAAAGCATAGTGCTATTGTGAATTCACAAAGGCTGCGTTTCAGTTAAATAAATAGATGCGCTGGGGGTTTAATACGCGCTTTATTTATATGCGTGTAGGTTACGGGCATCTCAAAGCAACACCGTTCACAGTAAATGCTGCTCCACACAAACAGTCATCATTTACATACGCGGACCGTCTCAAACTTTGCATATGCTGCGAGTCTGACTTGCTTTATGTGCACCATTCTATATGATTTATAAGGTAAATCAATTATAAACCTACGCAAACGCAGGAGAATACATCATTACCTTTCTAAATATGCAAACTGTTCATTGCCACTTCAAAATAAAAAAAAAGTTTAAACCCTCGCTCGGAGTTCGCATGTTTTGATGTCCACATGTTCTTGTTCAAGAAATGACAGTGGCTGTAGCATTTCTATCATAAAGAAGTGGTCAAATATGAAAGATTATATGGACATTTGATGTCATTAAATGTTGTTTAGTCAATATTAAAAGGATTAGATCGCGCTGTAACGTGTAAAAACTATTTACAATTTACACAGGCCGTTGGCACCCTCTGCAGGCATTTGAGTTAATACATAACGTACATAAGCTGTGATTACAAGCTATTATTGCATTATATATTTTAACTGTTTTGTTCAATAAAACCATGATTACTTGCTTTTGACATTTTATTTGTACCAATTATTATTGCCTCATTGCTATTATATAGGTATTTTAAGTCATTTTAAAGTCTATTGTTCACTTAGGTCTATTTTTATTACCACAAAAAATTATCCGATTACTCGATTCAGGCGTCAAAATAATCATTAGTGACAGCCCTACATTCAACACAATCACTTAAGTACACATGACTGTGTAAAGTAAAGTTAATGACTCACTGAATGGTCTCCTTTTGGATTTCTCAGCTGCACGCTGTTGACATATTCTTCTCCTTTTTCTGCCAGAAGGAAACTGCAGCTGGGGGTCAATTAGAAAAATTTCACAATTAGACGCCACATTTTTCACCATGGTTTATGCTTACCTCAACATGATATACATCTAAAATATACTGATAAATATTATATACTTTAAGTGTGTTTTTAGAATTAAATATCAGAAAGGATTAAGAACAGTTCAATCAACATAAAATATCATATGGACTAATTTTCTTCAGGGATACACAATATATCAGTACCATATCAGATAATATAAGAGACTATAATTTGTCTGTTTAGGTTAATATTGGATATATTTATGCCTTTAGCCATCGTATGATGTACACTTATTTAAACAAAAAAAACGTAACACTTAAAATGTTATCTCTAGTGAATGTTGAAATCAATAACGTACAGTATGAAAATGGATGTTATCGTTAACTAAAGATAAAAACAAAACAAAATGTTACTTGACAAACATGAAACTTAAATTAAATTATATATAAAAAAAAACAACATGAAGTACTAAACTAATTAAAACAAATGAATTTTAAAATAAAGCACACACACATATACATACATACCACAAACACAACAACATTCCTAAAAATGCTTAACTAAAATGAAAGTGAAAACAGAAAATATAAATTTAAAACATTAACAAAAACTATTAATTGTATATAAATTATACTAAAATAATACTGGTACATTATAATATTGTGACTCCCAAATTCACATTTAAACGACAGATTTCAGTTTTTAATGTTTTATCTAAAACAACATTTTTTTAATATGAAATACTATAGAACTATTATATTCTACTTATTCAGCCTATAGTTTCAACAAAACCATTTTTGCCATCAGCCAGAATTTTAATAGTGGCGCATTCCTACTTCTCTTGTTGCTTTTAGAGCTTGACAGCAGCAGTTACCATATACATTCATTGTATGCAAAAGAACAGCCTGGACGTCAAGTAAAATTTTGTGGTGAACATGCAAATGCACCTCAGTGTCTCAATATGTGAAAAAGCAATTCACCCCGGATAGTCCCTGGCATGCTCCTCCCAAGGGTCTTCATCAGGCCTACAGAGCTTCAGTCCTCCTCCACATCTAAAGCAGAGCACATGGTCCTGTTCTCCTATATGATCAAACACCACAGTTTGTTCACTGTCTTCCAACAGAGTGCTGCAAGGATGACACATTTTTAAAGGCCCAAACCCAGAAACCTAGAAAGTTGGGTTCATTTGTGAAGACCATCATGATGAACAAAACTTTTAAGAAACATGAACTTTTGTTGGTGCCAGAGGGTTTTTTTTTTTTTTGCAATAATCCAAAAGTGGAAAATCCTATGGGGTTTTTGTTATGGGAACTAGGGTGATGCTAACTTCCAGGTTGGCCTAATACACACACACACACACACACACACACACATATATAAAAAGAAAAAGAAAAAAAAAGTATCACTGTGCTCTATTCTCCATATATATCTCAAACAAAGCTATTTCTCAAAGCTATTTGAGAGGATTAGTTTATTCAGTATAAATAACTGAATAAGCTTAGAGAGTCATAACAGTAGTTACCTGTGCTGTGGAAACCAGCTCTGGCCAGTCTCTCGGGGTCTATGGGATGTTGTCTGCCTCTGAAACTTTCAAGACGCCCCTCAAAAGTCTCCACAGAGGCTCTTTGCCCATTCACCCTGGGTCTACGTGTTGGCAGCGGCACATTGCCCACATCGTGTCCCAAGATGAAGAAGCAGTTTGGGTAGACCTTTGCATGTTCACCCCAGGCATCATCGCCTGGCTCCCATCCTGTCAGCTGCACCCCACAACAGAAGCACTGCACCATGTCATCTGTCCTTAAGTAATACATCCCTGCTTCTGCCAGGTCTTCGGGTTGAACTGGAGCATCTGCCGGCCAGTCACTAAAAGTATTCAGCCGAGCTTCCTCGCTCTTCATGTGTGGCACCTTGGGATAAATAGTCTGATCCACCACTTCTCCCGTGCGGAGCTGGAACTCCCTGGATTCGGCCTCTTCGTCGTAAACAGGGCTTTGAATTAAGTCGGAGGTTTTCAAGCCGTGAGCATAGTTGAGGAACGTGCAGTCGGGAGACGCTTGCTGATGTCTATTCAGTGGGGTGTCCCCTTTGTTCCAGTCCTCCACTGTCGCATGGCAGCTGAAACAGTGCACCTTGTCCGCCTGACCTGTAAAATAAAAGCCTGCCCGGGCCAGTCGCTCGGCTGGAAATTCTTCAGAACGGGGGAAGTGCTGGAAGGAATTCACACGATTATGCATGGATGACCATCCATCATCAGGTACAATTTCGCCATCTTGATTTGAGTGGGCCATTATTGCTGTAACCAAAAAAAATAAATCGGTCAAAATTAAATACAAATATGTATACATTAGCAAGCAAACGTTTGGAATAATTAAGAAAGGGGTCTCTTATGCCCAACAAGGCTATATTTATTTGAAGAGAAATACAGTAAAACAGTAATATTGTGAAATTTTATAACAGTGTTATATAACTATCCTTCCCAAATCATTTTAATATACAGATTTGTTGCTCAATTATTATTGGTGCTCAATTATTAATAATTATCATCATCAACATTAAAATGTCTGCTTAATATTTTTTCGTGAAAAGCATGATACCTTTTTTCAGGATTCCTGAAGAATATAAAGTTCAATGAACCATTTATTTGCAATCTTGCGTAACATTATAAATGTCTTCTTCTACCGTCACTACTTTTGATCAATTGAATCCATCCTCTCTAAATAAAATTATTATTATTAAATCTCACCCCAAACGTTTGAATGGCAGTGTATCGTGGTTTCCGCTAAAATATGAAGCAGCACAACTGTTTTCAATATTGATAATATAAGATATGTTTCTTGAGGAGCAAATCAGCATATTAGAATGATTTCTGAAGGATCATGTGACGCTGAAGACTGGAGTAATGATGCTGAAAATTCAGCTTTTCGTCACTTTTTTTATTAATAATATATAGTAATTATTAATAATATTATTTCACAACATTACTGCAATTCATCAAATAAATGCATTGCATAAGAGACTTTTTATAAAAAGAAAAAATATATATTACAAAGCTTTGACTCGGGCTCTGCAGAAAACAGAACGCCAACAACAAAATATCAACAATTTAATTAGTACATTTTGACATTTTCTAAAGCAATGTTTGTAAATTGTTAAGTCTGGTTGTTAGGGTGCTGATATGTGGTTGCTCAGGTCAATAAAGATCAGGCAAGATTGAGCAATAATGGTTATACTCACTTTTGTGTAATTATTGCAAAGTTTTTAAAACCATTATCTTGTTCAGAAATGCTGTTAGGAAGGAGGTCAGGTGTCATTTCCACGACAACGGTCCGATATCAAACTGAGTCACCAAGACATAATAGTGAACCTGAAGGGCTGATCAGAACATAGTTTCCATGAAACCTCCTGTGTGTTGGGTTTATATTGTTTGTGCATGACTCACATCCACCAATGACACACACTGAACGGATTTCTACAGTCTCTGAACCAGGATTGCAAAGCTAGGAATGTTTAAAAATATATATATATATTTTTTTTTTTTACAGTTTCTGTCACTTTAAGAGACAGAGGCGTTCGTCAGTCATGTGTGAACAGCGCCTCCAGCATATGTGTAGGTTCCCTGATCCTCACTGCTCAAGAACTGCTTCATCTGTCCCGACTACACTGACATGGACAGAACTTAATCATCATCTTTGCATCATGTGGTTGTACATCATGGACATTACACTTCAAATGTCTTATGTAACATCTTTTTTTGTAATCAAGTGGAATGACTGCGCCTTAATGTCATCACCTCTTGACATGAGCATGACCATCATCACACATCACAGCATGCCACTCCAAGAGTCAAAAGATGTCCTGCCCAAAACTTAAGTATGTGTAGGTTCCCTGATCCTCACTGCTCAAGAACTGCCTCATCTGTCCCGACTACACTGACATGGACAGAACTTAATCATCATCTTTGCATCATGTGGTTGTACATCATGGACATTACACTTCAAATGTCTTATGTAACATCTTTTTTGTAATCAAGTGGAATGACTGCGCCTTAATGTCATCACCTCTTGACATGAGCATGACCATCATCACACATCACAGCATGCCACTCCAAGAGTCAAAAGATGTCCTGCCCAAAACTTAAGTATTACAAAATTCCTAGAAACTTGCAGGACTTTTTTTCTGCTACACTTGTATAGCTTAGCATTTGAACTGAATGAAAACAAATGCATTTTATGCATGTAACGTTATGTATGCATCAACATCCATACACACACGCATGCATGCATATATATATATCCATCTAGTTTCACGTTCCAGCTGGTTCCAAAGCACAATCAAGGCAGGGAACACATTCAAAAGGAGTCCGCATCGAAGAGCACGGTCAGTCTTTGACCTTAACTGGACAATCAGGCTAAGATTAAACACAGCGCACTAGCGTTAGCATGAGCTAACATTCCGCGATGCCACAAACCTTATCGTCTGCTTACCTTCGCTCAATTAACTCGGCGTCAACTTCAGTACTTGAAAGAAGTCAGTCTTCACTTCTGCTCTTTGACGAAGCAAATCGATGTGTTGTAGGCGACGCAGAGGGTGGAAACCATTTAAATATGTCAATTTACAGTGGGGGAGGACCTGATGTATGAATTGATTGATGATTGTCTGCTGCTTGTCTCATGAATATTAATCAAAGGGGACTCGCCAGTACAAGTTCCAAGCAATTTAATATTCATGAGCTAAACCTTTGCATTAGTAAGATTCGTAGTTTGATGTCATTTGAAAAGTCGGTCGAAATTTTGGCAAACATTTTTTTAATTTCGCCTCCGTTACAAGAAGGCCAACCACAACATTTTTCATTATACCCTAAATATCACATATGAGAAATTGACTACTGGACAATAAGAGTGGTGCAGTGAATACTGGTCATGCATTACACACAGGGTTCCTACGCAGTATGAAAGATATGGAATTTGATTTGAGTATTTTCCAGGCCTAGAAAAGTATGGAAAAAAGAAAACAGACTATCGAAAATGTTTGTGTTTCCAGAATATTATTGACCCTATTTTGTTTTTGTAGACAAATACATTCCTACAAGCAGTGTTTTTTTTGTCAGTGTTCAAACATATTCCTATATTTTCAGCTGAGTAGAATTATGAATGTTTTTATTCAGGTGTCACCAATGCCATGTGCTTGTCTCATTCCATTCCCGATTAATCATTTTGCAATGAAAAATACTTTTTTATATACAATTGAAGAAACAAAAGTGGGCCTATGTCTTATAAGCAGTGCTTAATTTGTAAATTGCGAGGTCCCGGAACAAAGTTGGGTGAGGGATCCGGCATGATTAGAGGAGGGAGAGGTACACTGTAAAAAATGACCGTGAATTTAACAGTAAAATACTGTAAAAATGCTACAGTAAAAACCTGTTAAATGGTTAACGGTACATTCCCCTACTATATACGGTGAAAACCTGTATTGGACATTACATGTAATTTTATGGTAGTATGCCGTTTTTGGAAGTGAAAAAGACCTTATAATTTACAGTGAATAACCGTAAATTGACATTCCCAGAATTCCCTGCGTTACATTTCAAATTTGATGTTTTTTTATTGAAATAACTATGTTTCTTATTTTTTTCTTATCAGTTTTGTATATTAGGGTTGTGTGTTACACCTAATGTTGTTAAATGAATGTTTATTGCATTATTTCAGTTTCATGTGTGTTACCGTGATGGTGTTTAGTGTTTGTGTGAATGACACTGTGCACCTTCTATATATGTTATTATTTAAAGCTGCTTGTGATGGGCTTTGGTTCACCATGTGACTTTCTCATCTCCTGCATTTGGTGGTTATCAGTTTATTACAAAGGTACAAAACAGATTTCAGTACTTCAATAGGTTGGTATATTAACATTATATCAGTTAATCAAATTACGGTATTTAACTGTAAATTTAAGTTAAAACCGTAAAACCTCAAATGTTGCTACCGTATTTTTTACGGTAAAATTCCGGCAACCACAGCTGCCAGATTTTTACTGTAAATTTTATGGGTTTTTTTTTTTACAGTGTAACAGAGCATTCGCGCAATGGAGGACCAGCTTACATGATTTACAGCGTGCATCTTCTTACGGTCATGCCATTTTAAAACAGCCATTTCCAGGCCTGGAAAAGTAATGGATTTTTTTCTGTATAACAGAATTATGTTTAATCTGCTTTCGAGTTTATGAGGGAAATTCCTGCAAATATATTCAATAGAGCATGTAGGTTAGATGAGTAAATAAATCCACACATACTATCAGATTAAACCAGTCATTTGAAAACAGCGTGAGTGATTCAGCTGTACCGTGTCTTCTCTCACTCTCAAAGCGGCTTCACAACAGCGCATCTCGTCTGCACTACTGCACGCTGCGATACAAGACTTTTGCTCGGGTTTCGGGACAGTCGACAGAATTGTCACTTGCCTAATCGAGCCATTGTTGCATCGTCACAAAACTGTATAATTTGCACATCTTTTTAAGTTTAAGCCATTCGATATGCGCGAGCTCTAAAGGGGATTTCCTATGCGCTCAGTCACATCCATAGTTATTTTTCGCAGCTTGTTGCGCTTACGCAGCAAAACACACACATAAAAAGGTCCTGGGGATTATCCTCGTAAGCACAGTCGGTTTTGTCTTAACTAAATGTAAACATCTGAGAAAGAAAACACATGTGTATCAGTATTGGATCCGTGCATTCTGGTTTGTGAGAGCAGCCACGTCGCATCTCTTTGCGCGCTCAAGTTTGTTGTTTTAAATGTAGATGCTAGGCAAGCCTGCTCATAATAGACGTTTTTTCATGAAATATATGCACGCTATAGGTCAACACAAACGTCTTTCATTGGTGCGTGAGGAGGGGGATCTGTCAAATGAGGTGCCGGATCAGATTTCAGACAAATTCGGAGGTGCTTGTTCCGGCACAAATTAAGCCCTGCTTAGTTGTAATTCAGTTCAATTAAAACAAACATTCAAAATTGAACTTTTCTTCATTCAGACTTCTTTGTAATAGTGTTGTCAAAAGTACCAGTACTTCGGTACCAAGTCAGCACTGAAATTTAAAATATATAATGATAGCCATTTATTATCGGTTTCGATTATCGGATCGATTCAGTTTTTCAACAGCTCTATACTGCTAGAAACTCTAGAGACTGTCACAGTGATAACCATTGCAAAGGATGGGACAACGAAAAAAAGAAGAAAAAAAATCTGATCTCAAAATAGATCATGGACTGTAAATGCAGAATGATAGACCTGCCACTTTTTCCATATAAGTTTCTTTGTTTTCATTTTATTACTAATCTTTTTAAGCAATGTTTACCTAATTGAAAAATACATGCGGTTTAATGTGTTATTTACGTAATTATTATTAGCATTAATAATTAACAAATGTAATATTTTTCAAATATCTAAAATAGTTCCAATAGTTTTTGCTATGGTACCAAGAACGGTGTAATTTTCCTGTTATTGGTACCAACTACTGAAATATTGGTACTGTGACAACACTAATTTAGTATGAATCAATATAACCTTTAATTGTTACTACCTTAATCATTTTCACTAAGAAATATGGTCTGAAAAAATTTTGAAATGGAAAATGTGTAGCAATGTACAGTGTGTGCTCTATATAGCCTATGGCACTATTTGCATTCACTAAAATCAGAATGAATACATGTAAGCTGATAACAAGAGACCCTATTTTTGTCAGAGCCATTCACATTTCACTTTTGTGGTTCACGTCCTCTTTCGGTTACGTAACTAGAAACTTGCACCCAGCTACATTTCCACATTCAAACACTTTATTATACATTTACCTTGATTGAGTAAAATTATAGTCCGGGCATTAGTGCAACTTGAAACCAGGTAAACTAATGGTTCCCCATATCTGGGTTACGCCTGTGAAGGGCCACATATATTCATATGTGGCGCATACACTTTATGTGCTTCTTCAAAACTGACTGAACCAGTTCCGAGTATAAGCAGCTATATGTAACGAATGTGACTGCAAGTGAGATTCTCGAAATACTACTAGAAAAACTCAAAATTTAGGGATGGTCACACGTGGGAGTGAAATTCATGAGAATGGAAATGTTGGATCCTCACTATCAATCACCGGTGTTCCTCATTTGTGAGATTTTTAATGAAGTGTCTGTTATATTAATAAATACAATCTAAATAGTTGAGAACACCGGTTCCTTATAACTACACCATGAGACTGGTTGATACAGGATTTGGAACTAGAATGCAGGGCTGTAACCACCATTAAATTTCAGCTTACCACTCCCCAAAATGTAAGAACGGCACGAGAAGGGGGTTTTCATGTTCACTGTTATAAGATATCGTCATGGGGAATTGTGGCAAACAGTAGATTAGTGTCTGAGGAAGTTATCTTTACCACTACCCTAACTTTTGCTGACAAGCTGGCGGCACTGCATGACATACATTCATAAGAGTTTTTTTTTTTAAATGTGTGTGGTCAGCAGTTCGTAGTAGAACTATTGTTAGTAGAACTATAATATTTAACAGCAGTTGTTGTAAGAGGAAGTCTGCCTAAATACATATCCAATATTTCCTTGAAAAGAAATCGAATGGCCAGAAGCTTGAGTATATTGAGCATGAAAAAGTGAGAACTACTAGCTGAATGACAAAGAACAAAAGTACATCTTATAATTGTATAATATAGGCTACACTACAGTTCAAAAGTTATGGTCAGTTTTTAAAAGAAGCCTCTTAAATGCTCACCAAGGCTACATTGATTTGATCAAAAACACAGTGAAAAAAAAAACACACTAAAATTGAAATAACGTTTAAATAATAATTTAATTTTTTTTTGTATTTTAATATATTTTAAAACGTAATTTATTTGGCAAAGCTGTATTTTTTCTGTAGCCATTGTCACGTGATCCTTCAGAAATCATTCTAACATACTGATTTGCTACTGCTGCTCAATAATTTTGTGGAAACCATGATTCATTTTTCTGATTTTTTGATAAATAGAAAGTTCAAAAAACAGCATCTATTTGAAATAGAAATCTTTTGTAAACATTATAAATGTATTTACTGTCACTTTTCAATTTCAATTGATCAATTTAATGCATCCTTGCAGATTAACATTCTTAATTTCTTTTAAAAATCTTTGTGACTCCAAACTTTTGGATGATGGTGTACATGATGGGCATGTCTCTGTATTCATTTGAGTCTACATTTACCTTTTAAGACAACACTTAGATATGACTAGATATAACAGTACATTATATTCAATTACAATTTATTTTCATTATCAAAAAACAAGCATCAAGATGGAAGAATAGACTATGGTATTGTGATTTTCACGCAGGGATACAAGACTAGAAATTAAATTTTAAGTGACTAACTAATATCAAAATAAGCTTTAGGTTTAACTGAAATAAAGCATCCATAGCTGAAGTAGACAAAGAATAATCAGAATGTTATATGCAAGTCTAAAACTCAAGTACTCAATAAAATGCAAGAAAAGTGACCAACATATCAAGTCATGAGCTTTTAAACTGTCAAAACGTGAACGTTGACCACATCATCAATCTCCTCATCTTTAAAAACGTATTTCTTTCAAATACTCTCACAAACAGGCATTCATCATACTTGAACAGCAGCTTAATTAAAAGCTTCTGTTTCAACCCTCTACGATCCGTTTCAACATTGATCCCAAGCCACCTTTAGCCACTTGTAGAGGCGTCATCTTTTCCTTGTTCTCAATGTAGATGCTGGCACCATGTTCCACAAGGAGTTTTGCAGCCTCTGTTCGCTCCTCGTCACATGCAAGATGACTGGCAAAAACAATGAAACGCTCATGCAGAACTGCTCTGAGGAAGCATTTATACATAATTATGAGAACAATAACACTGCTACACAGTGGTTCTACTTACAGTGGTGTGTTTCCTTCCGAGTCCTGAATGTTGGTAGAAGCACTCTCTTTTAAAAGAAGCTGAATGAGTCTGTAGTTGCCCTTGGCAGATGCTCTGTGTAGAGGTGTGGATTCCAGTTTATCCATTGCATTAGGATCTGCACCATTTTCCAGCAAAATCTGGGCTATCTGTTACAAGAAAATTCATTATAATTATTTTATTTAAAAAAAAAACGTATTGAATATAATGATTATAAAAATTTTATATATTAATATAAAAACAAAAGCTACCAGAAAAAAACAAACTCACTTTCGTTGAAACTTAGGGGCAGTCACACGTGAAGAGTGTTATTCATGAGAATGGAAATGTTCAATCATCACATTTGAATGAAGTGTCTGTTATATTAATCAATATAATCTAAATGGCTCAGAATACTGGCCCCTTAACTTAACTTGGAAAAAAGTTCTGGCAAAATAAAGGTGAAAATATTTATTTGATCTCCAGCTGATTTTGTAAGTTTGCCCACTTACAAAGAAATTAATGGTTTATAATTTTTATCATAGCTTTATTTTAACAGAAAGTGAAAGAAAAGCACATTACATAAAAGGTTATAAATTGATTAGCATTTGATCAAGTGAAAAACCTATTTTATTAGTCAGTTCATTGATGATTCAGTGATGTCATCATCCAGTTCAGCTCTCTTTCAATAGTGTCTGTGCAATCAGTCAAGCGTCGCCAACTAAGCAAGCCAAAGGCGACAGTGACAAGGAACCAAAACTCTATTGGTGGCAGAAATGGAGAAAAAACCTTGGGAGAAACCAGGGTCAGTCGGGGGGCCAGTTCTCCTCTGGCCAGACGAAACCAGCATGAGGTGGTTTAATTCCAGGCTGCAACACAGATCAGATTGTGCAGAGGACTCGTCTGGTTCCCATGGTCGTTGAAGTGACGAGGTCTTCGCAAGTTCGCAGGGGATTGGTCTCTGGGGTGCATCTAGTTGACATGGTCACCGCTGACATTCAGGGCTGTAGAGGTCATCTCCAACTGCCTTGAGATCATTGTTAATGATCTCAAGGAAGTTGGGACCACAGTCATCATGCAAACCATTGGTAACACACAACGCCGCAATGGATTGAAATCCTGCAGCGCCCACAAGGCACATGTACAGGCCCATCTGAAGTTTGCCAATGAACAACTAAATGATTCCGAGAAGGCTTGGGAGAAAGTGCTGTGGTCACATGAAACCAAAATTGGACACTCTGGCATCAACTCGACTCGCCGTATTTGGAGAGAAAGAAATCCTTGCTATGACCCCAAGAACACCATCCCTACAGTCAAGCACTGAGGTGGAAACATTATGCATTGAGGCTGTTCTCTGCTAAGGGTACAGAATGACTTCACCGCATTGAGGGGCAAATAGACGGGGCCATGTACTGTAAAATCTTGGACGAGAACCTCCTTGACTCAGCCCGAACACCCGAAGATGGGTCTTCCAGCATGACAATGACCTGAAACATACCGCCAAGGCAACAAAGGAGTGGCTCAAGAAGCAGCACATTAAGGTCATGGAGTGGCCTAGCCAGTCTCCAGACCTCAATCCTATAGAAAATCTGTGGAGGGAGCTGAAACTTTGAGTTGCCAAGCAACAGCCAAGAAACTTAGAGAGGATTTAGAGAGGATCTGTAAAAAGCAGTACACCAAAATCCCTCCTGAGATGTGTGCAAACATGGTGACCAACTACAAAAAACATCTTACCTCTGTGCTTGCCAATAAGGGTTTCTGCACCAAGTACTAAGTCATGCATTACTTGGGGATCAAATACTTATTTCACTCATTGAAATGCAAATCAATTTATAAACTTTATTCTGCCTCTATGTGTTAAAATAAACCTACCATAAAAATTATAGACCCTTCATTTCTTTGTAAGTGGGAAAACTTACAAAATCAGCAGGGGATCAAATAATTGTTTTACCCACTGTATTAATAGGGCTGCAACAAATCATTATTTTGATAAATTAATCTAACAATTATTAGAATGATTAATAGACTAATAATTGATTATTTCACTGATTTATCAGTAGGCTTTGATCGATTATTCAGCATTTTGCAATTTATTAAAATATTGATATACATATTCTATACATTCATATACATATGGCTTCTCTATAGCAGAAAATGAAGTTGCAATTCTTACTGAAAGTGACACTGACAATGTTTTTCAGAGCCTGAATTTCGTTTTGAAAAATGGGGGAAATTCCCCCTTTAGGTGGCTCTTAAAGGGGGAATTTTTTTTTATTTGAGAGGAGAGTTAGGGTATTTTTAAACTACAATCATCCAACCTTGTTGATTCATTTATATTGTGAGGAAACTTAAAAATAACTTTGATTTCAAACTGAATTGAAACAATCCAACCCTCTCCATTGACTTTGTATCGTGCGAAGCTGCCTCATTGTAATTTCTGACTCGTAACAAAAAACAGAACAATGTCTAAAAGCTGCTATGTGACAAGGTGTACAGTCATGGCCAAAAGTTTTGGCAGTGACATAAATGCTGTGTTTTGCAAAGTTTGCTGCTTAAGCTGTTGTGGTGTACATTCACATTGTTTCTAGATTATTGTGTAGAGTGATCAGATGCATTTTAAATCATTACTAAAAGTTGGCCAAAAAAAATTAACTACAAAAACACACATTTCACTGTTTTTTGATCTTGACACAAAATGACCAGCTAACATTAATTGACTTATCATATCAGCAGCACATGTGAAAGTCTGAATGAGTACTAGTACTAGGTAAAATCACTATCATACTATTTAGATTGTAAGAGCAGACTGATTGCTATAAAAGGAGGGAAGAAGTGCTTCTAATCATGGTATTCTTTTTAGCAGTGGTTACCTCCAAAGAAACACGTGCAGCCATCATCACTTTGCATCAAAATGGCCTCACATGCAAGGAAATTGCTACAAAGCATATCACACCTGAAGGAGCCATTTACCGGATCATCAAGAACTTCAAGCAGAGAGGTTCGACTGCAGTGAAGAAGTCTTCAGGACGTCCCAGAGTGTCCAGCAAGCGCCAGGACCATCTCCTCCTGAGGAGTCAGCTACGGAATCGTGTCACCAGCAGTGCAGAGTTTGAAAATCGATTGTTCAGTGAAGAAAAGGTGAACGCTACCATGAGTCCTGTGACGTGTCAACAGTGAAGCATCCTGAGACCATCCATGCGTGGGGTTGCTTTTCAACCAAGGGAGTAGGCTCTCTCATAATTCTGCCCAAAAACACTGCCATGAATAAAGCATGGTGTCAAAACGTCCTGCAAGAGCGACTTCTTCCAACGATCCAGGAGCAATTTGGTGATGATCCGTGCATTTTCCAGCATGATGGAGCGCCATGTCACAAAGCAAGAGTGATAAAGTGGCTCGAAGATCATTACATTGAAATTTTGGATCCGTGGTCAGGCAACTCCCCAGATCTCAATCCCATAGAGAACCCGTGGTCGGTCTTCAAAAGGCGAGTGGACAAGCAGAAGCCCACAAATTGTGATCAACTCCGAGAACTAATAAGGCAAGAATGGATCGCCATCGGTCAGGATTTGGCCCAGAAGCTGATATCCAGCATGCCAGAGCGAATTGCAGAGGTTATGAAGAACAAGGGTCAACACTGTAAAGATTGATTCATTATATTTTTTTTGCCAATAAAAACCTTTAAAACTTATATGCTTATCATTGTTTTTCAGTATACCATAGAAACATGTGGAAAAATAAACAAATACTGAAGCAGCAAACTTTGCAAAACACAATTTGTCACTGCCAAATCTTTTGGCCATGACTGTTCAGTAAACAAGCTAGAAAATCCAGAACTACTTTTTTTATAAGCTGTCAACCCAAAAAAATTGTGTTTAAGGACACTGAAGTAGAGTGCAACATGTCATATTACTCTGAGAACTAAGCCCACTGGAGGGAAACATAATCGGCAACAGGAAACATTCATTATTTGATTAAAAACAAATACTTGTAAATATCAAAATTTTATCAAATACTTCATATTAAGTAGTAAATACCAAAGACGACGAATACCAATTGGCCCAAGCTACAGCTTGCTAACACACATAGCTAAATTAGGGTGACCATACGACTTCTTTTTCCCGGACATGTCTTTTTTTCGGACCTAAAAAAATGCATCCAGCCGGGATTTCTAAATTGCCCCAAATGTCCGGGATTTGGCTTCTGCTTTCTACAGTCGCCATTCATTGTGTGCGTTTTTGTATTAGAGCCCTGCGCGGGACTGTTTTCTTTATCCCGCTCCCGCTGAATTTCTGACCATTATCGCCCGCTCCTGTGATTTTTGTGTCCAGTGTTCCCGCAAACGTTCTAATATTGCATATAATTTTCGCACATCAGGGAGCCGATATCAATATGCAGAGTATAGAAATCTCTTTTAAATGAGCGCTCGCTGTTCACTTTCACTTTCGTGATCACGCATGCTCTGTGTAAAGGAAGATCAGATAGTTGTCAATGAGCTCATGATCTGATGAGCAGCAAATCCTTCAGAATGGTCAGCTATCTCTCCTCTCAACACCTGATCAGTCAAATCTGACTCTTGCAGCTCGTGCTGGATGTAGGATTGTGAAGTCCACTTTGTTTTTTCCAATGGAATTGGGCTACTTTTAAACTGTTGCCACGGGTTGATTTTCCCCTGTGGGTTATAGGTTTGAAATGTTGCATAAATTAATTTTGCATTCTACCTATGATAAAACTGTGCTGTTAAGTTTTGTGAAGGAGGGCCACTGGTAGGAAGCTTTTTAGCTGTGTTTATGATCAATATGCATAACAGTTACTGTAAAATATGTATTTTAGGTATGGAAATGACATTTTGAGTTTTAATATTTGGGCTATGGCCATTGTGCTACTTTTGGCACTACTTTAACCACCAACCAACCACACCACAGCCCCCCGTCCCGCCCCACCCGCACCCACTGTCCACTTTTTGGAAAACTAAAATATGGTCACCCTAATTAAATGATACTGTTACCAATACCTGGTGATTCGATCAAATAGTTGTAGATGTCAGGGTATTTCACGTTGGGCCATTCAGTTGGATCATTTCTTCAACAAAAGGAAGATAAGGAAAAGGGGCACTGACATAGACCAATAAAATGTAGTTTCTCAATATATCTCCTCCTCTCAGGTTCACACAGGTGGTGAAATAATCTTTTGACATGGATAAAAATAATTTATGTTATTTGTCATCGATTACGTTCCCCTCCTGTGGGCATAGTTCTCAGAGTAATATGGCACATTGCGCTCCACTCTTGTGTCCATATACGCTCGTTTTTTGTGGGTCGACAGCTTATAAAAATGTAGTTCTGGGTTTTTAGCTTGTTTGCTGTACATTTTGTCACACAGCAGCTTTTAGGCATTGTTCTGTTTTTTGTTATAAGTCAGAAATGACAAGGAGGCAGCTTCCCGTGATACAAAGTCAATGGAGAGGGTTGGATTGTTCCCTGGATTGGAGTTTAATTATAGGACACATGCTTATTTGATAACTGTTTTATTCCTATTTGGGTTTATGCATGCTTTAGCTTTAAGATTATCATTTTTTTTTCAAGGCATTGTTAAATACCAGTGTTTCCTGTGACATAGCAACGTAAAGATTTGATTTCAAAAACAGTATCATAGCTATTAAACTATTTCTTATGATTTTAAATCTGTATTTACCGCAGATAAATCTCAAAGTTAAAAGAGGTGCTGAAGTCTGATTTTGTAGTGGCTGTGCTTTAAAATTAAATGATTATAATCTTATTTCAAGTGATGAAGGATCTTAAAAAACTGATAGTAATCAGTATTGAGTACTACTGTAAGGTTAACCCTGCCTGGTTTAAATGTTTGAAAATGATTAACAATTAAAAACATTCGTTAGAAATTTAGAAAAGAAATCAAAATGTAATCAGTTACATTAATAAAGTAACTGAATTAGTTACACTACTTATTACATTTTAAATAGGGTAACTTGTAATCTGTAACCTATTACGTTTCCAAAGTAACCTTCCCAACACTGCATATAGCAAACTTATTTTTACCCCAACCAAAGATTAGTCAATAAATACATTATTTTTTTTTAATAAATAAATTGTCGAATAGTCATTTGATCTCATATGATCTAAAGTAAGGGCCTGCAATAATGTGTTGAATGAACAGTGTTGACTAATGTAGGTGCTCTCGACTAATAGTTTCAACCCTATATATATTAATATAAAAACAAAGATTAATCTGTATTTAACTTGTGTTATTTTACACTTATTACATTTCTGCCATGAATGCTACTGTTACTGACTTTATTTGTAACTGTGTTTTGTTGTATTCATCTATGCTTGCAATCGGTGTAACTGTTCTTGTTTTCTTACTAACTTTATTAGTTAAGCGAGTAGATTTTGCTGTGGTATAGAAGTACTTAAAGAAAGCTTTCACTCATTTTTTTTTTTTGCGGATCTGAAAAATGATCCGATCCATGACTCAAAATCCGTAATATGATCCGAACCGTGAGTTTTTTGATCCGTTGCACCACTACTATGTTCAGAATTTTTTTTTTTCATGTAATATAACTCTCTGATTTCAAAAAAGAAGAAGCTGGAGACGCTGAAGCTACCTCATATAGGTTTTTCGATGCTGCGTAGTGCAGTGGTGTGCAACCATTCTGGTTCACAGCGTTCAACTGAGCTCCTTTGGATATTAAGGATCTCACAATTTCTTCTCTCCCAGCAGATGCTGCTATATGAAGAGGAGTCCAACATGCCTGAAATGATATAAAAGGGTAAAGAACTCCACCAAGAGGATATGCAGTGAATGACAAAGTATCAATATTGCTACTATCTGGACATGTAAACACACCCAAAAAATGGATGTCATGTAATAACTCCACTTCTAAATCAATTGGAGATCAGCAATAACGCTGAGAGAGCAAAGTTTCTTTTGAAATGCAATAACATTAACTGATGCAGTGTGAGGCTCTGGACTGAAGCATGACACAATGCTGACTCACATCATCTTTGAGATCCACTTCGACTCCAAGATCCAACAGAAACTGCACGATAGCCACATGTCCAGCTGAACAAGCCCAGTGCAGAGCAGACCTGCTGTCCTGTAAGAAAAGGAAACACGTTCAAAGCACTTTAAACCCGTGACAGACAGCCATCTCTGAATAAATGGATAGACTTCAATATAGCATCATGCTAACCGCTGTGCATGCGCACCGACACTTCCCACTTAACCTTACCTTACCTGGTCTGTTTTGGTCGCTAGTGAGCTGTCAGACAACACGCATTTTTTAAGTTCTTCAAACTTTCCAGTATAAGCTAAGTTACAGATTTCTACATTTGATACTCTTCCCTCCATCTCAGAGTTTGGGGAGCACCAGTATGACAATCTAAATGGCCCCGCCCCAAACAGACAAGCTACAATTTCTTCGTCTTCTTCTTCTTCTTTTAGGATTTAATGGCGGTTGGCAAGCCAACTTAAAAGGTGCATTCCCGCCACCTACTGGAAAGGAGTGTGAAGCGCACAATGAATAGGAACTTTAAGAAACAAGAGCTACCTATTTAACAATTTTTTTTAAAAAAATTTAAAAAACACATTATTTTAATAAATAAATAAATAACCCACAAAAACAAAAACCGGAGAGAAAACCCGGTATCCTAAATCCTATTAATCAATCCTGTTTCCTTTCAATAAATAACTAATTCGCGATATATTCTTGATTGCTTAGATCCATCACCTAACAGTGATGACAAGATCATTGCAGATACCTTAAAGCTTGACTTAGTTGGAATAAGTACATGTTCTACTGTTTCTGTTAACCCACATTTGTCACAATTTCCATTTTCATGTTTTCCTATTCTATGTACGCTGCAATTTCTTCTTCTTCTTCTTCTTGTTCAATGGCCGTTCACCCCTTAGGAGTATTACCACCACCGATTATATATCTTGCGCACATGGGTGATGAAGCTGTACTGCAGGGGGGAAAAAATCATAAAAATGAACATTTGTAATGCACCACCCACCCCAGAGGAGAAGATCAGAGCCCAAGCTTCAGCTAGCGCTGTGTTCAGCCCCTCAACCTCCGAGATGATCCTCATCCTCAAACACTAAATCCTGAGGTCTAATCCTGTGAGCTCTAAAAATGTTAAACCCACCTTAAACATCTGACTATCACTCAAACCCTTTCCCAGAAGGTGCACGACACTCACTGGTCTGCTCACTGCCCTTACCAAAAACTAGTATACTTCAAGTTTATTTTAGTAAGTATACTCAAGTATATTTTTAAGTATACTTTATGTAGTAAGTATACAAATATCAGTGTACTAGTAGAATACTTGTAAGTGTACTATTTCAATGCTCCTTGGGACTAAATTGGCCCACTTTCTAGTATATAAAAGTATACTTTAAGTGTATAACAGTAGTAAACTTTAAGTAAACAACTTTTTTGCATCAAAATTTTTAGCTTTTATTGCAACTATAGTAAAAGTTAACTTATAGGTATACTGATAGTTTACTAATTAAAGTCGTGGCCTAATGGTTAGAGAGTCGGACTCGTAACCCAAAGGTTGTGCGTTCGAGTCTCGTACCGGCAGGGATTGTAGGTGGGGGGAGTGAATGTACAGCGCTCTCTCTTCCACCTTCAATACCACCACTGAGGTGCCCTTGAGCAAGGCCCCGAACCCCCAACTGCTCCCCGGGC